CAAGTTGTTACTCAATATTGTTATTATATATTAATTTTTTAACAAGCTTACCCTTCTTTTCTTGTGGTTAAAACTATAATGATCATACTTTTTCGCAACCGAGATCGCAACGGGACGACGAATATAAAATTTAGAACAATGAAGTTGCCACTAATGTTTATTTTTAAGGAAAAAAACATTAAAAAAACCACAAAGTAGAAAATGGTCTACAAAAATTAAATTTTCGAGTTCGGGAGTCGATTACGTGTAAGGAAAGTATTAGCACCTTACAACATTCGTCCTAAGACGATTACCTTTAATTAATTAAACAAATTATTTATATTTTATATAATATTTATCTCACCTTAGATTAATTGAGATAAATTAAAATTAACTATAACAATCAAATGTATTTTATTTAACTAGTACATTTATTTTATAAAACTGAGAGAGGGAACAAGGGTTGTGGCTAGGAGACTGAACGGCGCGCATGAATTGAGAGCGAAGGCGCGAATTTTGGGTCTCCATCTAAGTCGATTTTACACAAAAACTGTTGTAGATCACTTAACATCTAAGTCGATTTTACTAAAAATCGTCATAGATATATTTGTGTAGGCTATTCTACTACGGGTATTGACTAAACCGTCGTAGATAATGTTTCTTTTATTTACAAAAATGTCACCGTATCTTATTCTACATCGTTTTTTAGTAAACCGTCTTAGATTGAGCGACTTAGATTATTCTTTTTGTAGTAGTGATGTTACGGTGCTTGGAAAGCTCAAGTTGGCTTCTAGATGGTAATTGTTTTAAGTTTCTCCTCTAGATGTTATGTGGTATTTGTATGTGGGAAAGGTCAAGACATACATGTGTAAAACAACCAACCAAGTAAAATACAAAGGCGGGGACTTTGTTCCTAACCGAGTATTGGAAAGGCATAGTATTTGAAGGGTAGTTAGTAGCTAATCTCATAGGTGGCTTAGTGTTGCAAGTTAAAGTCGTGTTAGGCTCATACTCAAACTATTTTACTCTGACAGTAGTACCAGACTTCCTAGTTTAAGTGGAAAAACCTGAGAAATCAAATTAAGTTGTTAAACATGTTTTCTATGAGGCCTAAAATTGTCTATACCTGACCTAGTTGAGATAGGTCAAATGTTGTGATTCAGTAGGATTTAGCCACTTAAATTGCTCATCTCTACTATAAGAGATCTCTTTAATTGATATGTGTGATGATGCATTAATTGAATATTGTTGATGATTAGGAATGTAATTAGTTGAAGTTGGTTGTGTAGTACTCAATGATAAATGGAAGTTGTATGTTGCTACTTAGTTGATTCAAGTTGTTACTCAATATTGTTATTATATATTAATTTTTTAACAAGCTTACCCTTCTTTTCTTGTGGTTAAAACTATAATGATCATACTTTTTCGCAACCGAGATCGCAACGGGACGACGAATATAAAATTTAGAACAATGAAGTTGCCACTAATGTTTATTTTTAAGGAAAAAAACATTAAAAAAACCACAAAGTAGAAAATGGTCTACAAAAATTAAATTTTCGAGTTCGGGAGTCGATTACGTGTAAGGAAAGTATTAGCACCTTACAACATTCGTCCTAAGACGATTACCTTTAATTAATTAAACAAATTATTTATATTTTATATAATATTTATCTCACCTTAGATTAATTGAGATAAATTAAAATTAACTATAACAATCAAATGTATTTTATTTAACTAGTACATTTATTTTATAAAAATCAGAATTATTATATAAAAAAGATAATATTATTATTTTTTTGGCTCGATAAGTGTGCGATGCCGTGTGTAGTGACTAGCCGGGTCGTTACATATAGCGATATGGAGAGTTATATATTTAAACTTTTTTTTCCTCATCGTAGTAAAAAGAAAGAAAGAAAATTCATGTTATCACTCCTTTTATAAATTAGGATACAAAACATAGAGAATGTGATTCTCACTCTCTTAAATAAACATTTTCTCTCCTTTTCCCCTCTAGAGGTTCATTTCACATTATCCATATATATATCTAGCTAATGAAAAAATTTCTCACACAATTATCTCAAAATACGTTAATTATTTATTTATTTATATATTTAATTTTCTTAACTTTTATTTCATTCAATCAATCGTTTTTATGATTTCTGTCTCTAAATTATATTTATTTTTAAAATTTAATTATAATTAAAAACATTCTTATATCACAATTTAAATTTTCTGCTCAAAGTTTTAAATATATTTTATATATCCAAACAAATTTATTTATTATATTATAAAATACTAAAATATTAGAGTTTATATATACCTCATCCCCACTCTATATATTCGTAGCCAAGTCATGGAGTGCACATGCAAACCCTTTAATTATAGCTAATTAATTAATAATGTATCTATCAAGATTTCAAGTTGCTTAACTTAATTACATTAGTACGTGCCATTGATCTTAAAATTAAGGCAAATAACCAGATACTAATTAGTTCCTTAATGAAAATAAAAGTAAAATGTTCTGCAATTATTATTTTTTTAATTATGATATTGGTGCAAAATATTTGTTAAACTTAGTTTATGATTAATTTCTTTTATTCATTACAAATGAGTATTCTCTCTTAATTTAAATTTTTATACTTACAAGAGTTAAGATTCAAATCTTAATCACTTAGTTAGACGATATTTTAAACGATATCTCGTCACTTACATTAAACCAAATTAATTTTAATAAACTATACTCTTGGATTTCTTATTATAAGACCCAAAATTGTAAATCAATTTAGTCTTTTTTATTTATTTATCAAAACTCAATCCATTATATTTTAAGCATTAATTTATTTATTTTTTTACAAAAAAAATACACTCATTAAATGCATTTGTCGAGTTAAAAAAAGTAAATAAATTCATTTAAATACATATTTATTGATCTTGATGATCAATAAAACTAACTTTTCTTATTTTTATAAATTAGTCATTTAGATAGTATAAAAACACAGGAGTTGATATATTTAATGCTTGCTAATCAATATTTTAGGAGAATAATTAAAGAGACTAGCTAACATTAAAATCACGACAAAAATAAAATAACATTATATTTGTATTTTATGTGTCGATTAATTACACTGAGAATATTTGAATGTACAGTGGAATTATGTTCATTGACCACGGAGAGGACAGCTAGCTTTGAGTTCATATATATATATATATATATATATATAT